CTTTCCTTGTCTTTTCATACTGCTTGCGTATCTTTCCTGCAGGTGCGGGCGGCGGCTCTGCTCTCTCCTTATTCCAATTGGGGTGTCGTGGCTACCACGCCGGCAGGTCACTGGGCCTGTTCTGGGAGCTGGCGGCGGCTCTGTTCTGCCCCTATTCCAATTGGGGTGACGAGTGTACCACGCCGGCAGGCCACCGGGCCTGATCCACCGGTTGGTTGCAGGTTTGCCTACCCTGCAGGTGCGGGCGGCGGCTCTACTCTGCCCCTACTCCAAATGGGGTGACGTGTCTGTCGTACCGGCAGGCCACTGGGCCTGTCTCGCTGGTCGGTCGCAGATCTGCCCACCTTTCGGGCACGGGTGGAGGCTCTGCTCTGCCCCTACTCCAATTGGGGTGTCGTGACTACCCCGCCTGCAGGATGCTGGGCCTGTTCCTGGCACGGGCGGCGACTCTGCTCTGTCACTACTCCAATTAGGGTGGTGTTTGTACCACGCCGGCAGGCTCCTGGGCCTGATCCGCCGGTCTGTTGTAGGTCTGCCTACCTTGGAGGCGCGGGCGGCGGATCTGCCCTGCCCCTCTTACCACGCCTGCGGACCCCTGGGCCTGATCTGCAGGTTGATCACTGGTCTGCTCACCCTGCAGGCACGAGTGGCGGTTCCGCTCCGCCCCCACTCCAATTGGGGTCACGTGACCACCACACCGGCGGGGCCTGATCCGGGTGTGGGAGAAGGATCTGTTCTGCCCCTACTCCAGTTGGGGTGACGTGTGTACCACACTGGCAGGCCACTGGGCCTGACCCGCCAGGCTGTCACAGGTCTGTTTACCTTGCAAGCGCGAAGGGCGGCTCTGCCCTGCCCCTCCTACCACGCCCATGTACCACTGGGTCGCGGGTCTGCCCACCTGGCGGGTGTGGGTGGCGGCTCCGCTCCGCCCCCTCTCCAATTGGGGTCACGCGGTCACCACGCTGGCGAGCCGCTGGGCCTGCTCCGGGCGCTGGCGGCGGCCCGGCTCCTCCCCTCTGGCTCGAGGACAAATTGAGGAGACTCGGGTGACTGTGCCTCACACCCCCTACCAGGAGTCCAACTGCTTATGTCACCGCTGGTATTGATGAAGTTCTCTCCTCCGCCGCTTTCTGCTGACATCAGATCTCTGCCATGTTGGTATCCTATGTGAATGGCAGCATTTCGTTCCCCTTGCCGGGCAACCAAAACAACGGGTGAGTCCTGACCGGCCCTCAGCAGGACCCGGACTGAGACGCAGTTTCCGCGGGCTCCTAGCCCCGGTCCAGGGAAGTTCCGGGAGCCGGAACTCGGCCGCTCCGTGCTCGGTGTAAGCTCCTATAAGTGTAAGCTCCAAGAAGCAGTCCCCGCGGGCTCAGTTCCGGGAGCCGGAATTCGGCTGCTTAGTGCTTGGTGTATGCTCTGATAGTAGCAGGGTCCAAGAAGCAGCCTCCGCAGGGTCCGCAGCCGTGGGCCAGGGCGGTTCCGGGAGCCGGAACTCGGCCGCCCCGCGCTCGGTGTTCGCTCCGATAAGATCAGATTCTAAGAAGCACCCAGGCGCTGAACCCTAGCAATCTGTCTGCAAGCCGCAGGCGAATTGCAGCCTGAAATTACCTGTTCTATGGCTGAATGAGCTGCGGTCAGTCGAAAATAGGGAAGGTGACGTCAGTTTACCAACATGGTGGCTGCTGGCCTCCTCTGTGGTCTGACCGGTGTGGAGAATCGAGATGGACCGCTTCCTTCCCCCGTCTCGAACCCAGAATTCAGCCCTGAGTACAGTGCTTGCACGGCTGGCAGAAACTGCAGCGCTGTAACCCTGCGTCTCTATCCCAGCGCGCGCTGCAGACTCTAGCCACGGGGCGATTTGCTGAATAAGCAGTTTTACCCTCCGTGCGACAAACCTCTCGCGTTTGAGTCCCCGTAACCGATCCTCGTGCGATGGAAATCCTTCCTCCAGGTTCCGGAGCACCCCACTATTGCTGGAAATTCCTAACAAGATATCCTTTAGCCGTCCTGACTTGTCATACTCCCACACAGTGAAGCAGCACACGGGGGCAATGCACTCCCCTCTCCGCCATCTTCCTCTCCCTCGGAAAAGATTCTTTCCACGCGTAAGAAGATATGGCCAAAGACTCATTCCCAAGCTGAGGACTAAGGATGAGAGCCACCTCCTCCAAAAACTACATAAAATATTTTGAAACAATAATCCTTGGCTATAAGAATTAATAACAAGGATGGCACCAGACCAAAGTCAAGGAAAAGAAAGTTGCTGGGTAGAGTGTAACTATTTTTTTGTGTAGATTGTAGTTCTGGCAGACTTGTGATAGTTATCAAGTGTGTGTGTATGAATCCTTTTTTCAAAACTGCCCAGCTTTTTTTTTTTTTTTTAATTGGTTGGTGTTGATACAAACTACTGATGAACCCAGCCTAATTCCATTTTAAGATTGGGAGCCATCTCATCTCAAAGTCATGAAAAGTTAATTTCTGTTTTACTATAAATTACTGTGATTTCTAAACTTGCTTGGAATGCCTGCCCGTGTCTTGAACTCACCCATGCCTGGTTTTCCCTGATCAGATAACAATCCTCTCTAAAACCTTAGTGGAGCCTCACAAATCCTGGCTCCCTCTGATCAGATAGCAATCCTCTCTGAAACCTCATTGGCACCTCATAAATTCTGATGTTGGGATATAAATTTATTTCCTACCTTAAATGTTAAGCCATATAGGTCATTAATTTACTATCTACCTTTGTGTTATGCTTCTCAAAATCCTGTTATCTGTAAGTTCTCAAGACACCTGCCTTTGCAACTTTTTATGCTATAAAACCTTGTTCTTGGAGAGCTGGGGATGCTGGTCTCTAGCCCGTGTTAGGAGAGACAGTCGCTGATCAACTCTCTTTGTGTACACAAATACAAGCTTGCTTTAATTTGATTTAAAATTAGAGTTGGTGGTCTTTTCTTTGCATCAGGGTTCAACACTACTCCATTTTGATTCTAACAAAAATTTATAAATTCTAAAAAGGTAAATGCCAAATGCAGGCTAGTATTAATTATGGTTGCCAGAAACTTAAGAAGCAAACTAAGTCAGTTTTTATGTAAGTCATTTTTATTTTACATGCAAGTTTTCAAGTGGTTATGTATGTATCTTAAATTTACAACCTCCCACCCCAGGGCTTCACATATATTAGGCAAATATTCTACATCTAAACTATATCTCCAGTCCTTTTATTTTTTAAGTTTTATTTTGAAATACAATCTCATTAAGTTGCCCAGGCTAGCCTCAAACACAGTTCTCTTGCCTCAGCCTCCAGAGTCTTTGGGATTATAGGCATGTGCCACTATGCCTAGCCCAAACCTTTAAAATGTTTTTAAGTAGGTCCTTCATTATAAATCCAGTTGTCTTTCCCAACTCCAACTGTTATACCGTGGCCAAAAAGTCTTTCCTGGTTTCTCATGGCCTTGTTCATCCTTTGACTTACAAAAGCTCTAATGACATTTCCAATCTGATCTCCAACCAACATTCTCATGTATTTACTTTTCTCAAGTCACATGAACTAAATTCCATTGTCTCACTGAGATTCTCACGTTCTTGAATGTCTAATTGGATTGCTTGTCAGTCCTACTCTTAGATTTCCTGACTACTTCTCTGCCTCTAGGATGAGTGAAGAGCTCTTCAGATTTCCCATAATCCCCTTTGGATACTTCTATCATAATTGTGAAACCTCCTGCAACCAGTGACAATTTCCAAAATATCTCCTTCAGTGCTTTTTATACTGCTTACAACATAAAAGATCTCAGTAAAAGATGGTATATTAAAAAATAAAGTTACCTTTTATTTAAAAACTTCATTTAGGAAGAAATTTTAAGAGTGTTAGTGATAAATTCAACCATATCCCTAAAATTTGTGCTCTAGAAAAAGGTAGGGAAAAATGTAAAGGAGTCATATGCATACCTATTTTTTTCTTTTCGTTCTTTATTATTATTATTATTATTATTATTATTATTATTATTATTATTATTGTTTTGTTGGGAGGTACTGAAGATTGAACCCATGATTTCATACAGGCTAGGCAAGTGCTCTACCATTGAGCTACATCTCCAGCTCTCTTAATTTTGAGACAAGGTTTCACTAAGTTGCCCAGTCTGGCCTTGAATATGTGATTCCTCCTGCCTCAGGCTCCTGAGTAGCTGGGATTATAGGTGTGTGCCACCATGCCTAACTACTCCCATGTTTTGTTTTGTTTTGTTTTGTTTTAAATCCAATATGTATTATGTTAAAAGTTGTAATACTTGAATATTCAAGACATTTCCTCTTAAAATTCTTACATTTAAGTACTTAAATATATGTTACAAAATTTAACAATAGTATTGGAATGAAAATTGTTTCCTTTATAAACATCACATTACCTAGAACACTACTGAAGACCACATTAACAAATATTTCAATTCCTGTAACATATGTATTGAAAAGCCTGAGAAGCCCATATTGCTGAGAGTTAAATATGTCTACTGATGTGATGTGAAATTTGAGGATATTCATCAATGCCAATAATAGTTTCATTATTTTATAAGAACTTTAGGAAACAATTCAAAATTTAACATTTTAGCTATTCCCTGAATTCATTTAGGAACTCTTTCAGCACAAAAATGTGGTTGTATTAAGACAGAATGCTGAAGCAACTTCTAATAAACTCATTTTGGATGCTAATATATTTTAAAAATATTGTTTCTTTACCACTTAAGCCTAACGATTCAGTTTAGCCTTTTTATCCAGACACACTACATGTAATATGTGTTAGAAAAACTACTAGGCAATTTATTTATTTTATTAATAAGAATTTTCCTCAAATGCAGTCCTGGAGGAAGGGAAGATTGAAACCTTTCTTGTTTTCACAGGTGCTATTAACTTGAAATATGTGACTGGTTTTTTTTTTTTTTGAGACACAGTACTAAGTTTCCTGCCTTCTTCTACTAATAAATTATTAAAAAGAAACATAGCAAAACCAAAGTAAATTTAAATTTAATAATTTTAAATAGCAGTGTTCAAAATAAACTTTCATTTATATATAATAGAGTTACATAATGATTGTATATTAAAACCACTTAGCTAGAAGCACAATGATAATTTTAAGTATGCATAAAATAACAAAATATAACAAAGTCTTGAGTATTTATGTTTATATCAAGTTTACGGTAAGTCAACATAGGATTAAAAAAATAAAAAAAGGTTCCATTAAACCCTACATAGTTTATTTCTGGTGAAACATTTACATGCTTTTCTACTATAATACGAAATATATTATTTCCCCTACCAACAAGAGAAAAGATCTGTCACCAAAATACATTACTTTCAGGGGAAAAATGCTTCTCATTTTCATAAAACAATGTAATAAAGTGCTTTCTCTTATAGGATATAGATCCTGGGAAAGTTAAAAATATATTTTTAAAAATATAATTTCTTGTCCTGCTAGTATATCCTTCTACCACCCTATGCTGGGTATTAAATCCAGGGTCTCCTCCATACTAGGCAAGCACTCTACCACTGAGCTGCATTCCCAGCCCAATCATATCATTTTTCTATATCATTCCTACATACAGTTATAAACTAAATTAATCATGTACAATTTCTTGAATGAAAAGCTCATTTAGTCTTGTGATAAATGTGAGATAGTATAAAATCGAGGGACTTTTTTTTAAAATACTTTATGACATTTATTATAGTATAGGTTGAGTATCCCTTATCCAAAATGCTTAGAAACAGAAGTATAATGGATTTCTGATTTTTTTTCTTTTTGGATTTTGGGATATTTACATATACATAATGAGATTTTATAGGGCAGGAACCCAGTCTAACTATAAAATTATTTAGGTTTCATGTGTACCTTATATACATAGCCTGGAGATAATTTTGTACAATATTTTAGTGTCCCTGCATTTTGTACACAATGTATCACATGAAGTCAGATGTAGAATTTTCCACTTGTGGTGTCATGTCAACACTCAAAAAGTTTCAGATTTTTAGAGCACTGCAGATTTTTAGAGCACTGCAGATTTTGGATTTTCAGATTAGGGAAGCTCAACCTGTCATGATATCTATCTTGTTAGAAACAGTCAATAGAGATGAACTAAAGAACTCCTATCAATAATGATACTTTGATTACTCATTGGATAAAAACCAAAGGCTATTCATGTGCCCAGACTACTTACTTAAGATTAGTCTAAATGCAATACTGTTTTCCACTGAAAACCCAAGTTTGAGTGAAATGAACATTTCCTACAATCAGTAAAAACTCCCCTTTTTACAGAAACAGTAGATAAGGTCTTTCATCATCCAAAGTGGCAAGATCCACATCACACAAATGATTCATACAGATTAAATTGTCATTCCTTTAATTAGAGAAATCCTAATTCACACAAGACCCTAACAGAGTAACTTGGGTGCCAAACAATGCATTTGGATTTAAGAAATTAACAGGTAATATCTGGCAAATATGTTATTTAACAACTGCCTTCTATTATCTACTAAAATTTCTATGTACATGATTTATATGTGCACAAGGTGAACTTTTTTCCTACCATGCTACACATCATTTAGCACACAACTAAAACAATTCTGATGTATCTGACATACAATAAGATTAAGTTACACTGAAATGTATGTATATCAAATTCTCAGAAACTGCTTTTGATATTATGGAATAATTTTCAGTTTTCTTTATAATAATTCTAAGTGGTTGTGATTTCTAAATTATCTTTTAAAAAATCTCCAAAAATAAGACAATTTTTATTTTAAAATTGGGATTATGACTTAAGAGGTACAATAGAAATATTCATTTAAATTATTGGAAAGAAAAACATAAAATCATTGTAACAGAATAACTTGAAAAAAAGTTCTTGCCCAAGAATCTCCACCTTATTTGGTTATTGTTGTTTCAAGTTGAAATGGCATCACTAGAATTGTTGCCTTTGAATATTTTGTTTCTGGAAAAAAGCCTTTCCAAATTCATATGTACTGATCATAATGGCACAAGCAGGAGCAATTTTAATTAAGCGAGGAATCAGGCCTGAAAAGAGAACAAGAAAAAGAACAAATTTTACCTTATTTTTTTTAAAAAATAACTTATTTGACTTCATTTTGATAATAACCAAAATAAATGAAGTGATATATCAAATTTTGTATCATAAATTGGTCAAACCATTCACTTCAAACTTCTTCATTTCAATTCTAGGTTATACAGAAATTAGTAAATCTGTTTAACCTTTCATTTAACTTACAGCAATGATATTTAGGAGAATTTTTTAAAAATATAGAATGTTATCTGAAATTTCCTTCTTGAAGTTAATTTTATTATTATTATTATTATTATTATTATTATTATTATTAATTTTTTTTGATACTGGGGATTGAACCCAGGGGTGCTTAACCACTGAGCTATATCCCCAGCCCTTTGGTGCTTTTTATTTTTAGAGGGGGTCCTTCTAAGTTGCTCAGGGGCCCCGCTATATTGAGGCTGGCTTTGAACTTGCAATGCTCCTGCCTCAGTTTCTCAAGCTGCTGTGATTCTTTAACAGACTGAAACTCAATAATTTGGTTCAAGGATTTAGTAAAGCAATATTATTACCTGTAAATAATCCAGATAATCCATCTTTAGCAACAATATTTTTCATTATAAACCAGGTTGACATGTGGGAAGGCATAGAAACTAAATATTAAAAGAAAGAAACAATGCTATCATAAATTACAATTTAATTAAATTTCTCATACTGATAATATAAATACAATGGTGTTTATTGCCTTTGGGAGCATATCATATATAAGAAGAACAGATCTGTTCACCTAAAGAGCTAATTTCAGTCATATTATTAATATTTGAATTCATTAAGAAGGAAAGGAAAAAGGTTCTAAGTCTTAAAGTATATAGAACTGGATGCAATAAAGGAGGGGTACACAGAAAGCTTCTTTTGAATTGAAAAAGTTTGTTTCTTTAGCTTAATGGTATTATTCTTTATAGTTTTTCCCATGTCTTAAAATGCTGCATATGGGATTTTTAAGAAATGTATAAAAACTTTTCATGGGATATCTAATACCAAAGAAAATTCCAGAAAATAATTTGTCATTTCAATTTGATTTCCCACAATTAAAAAACTTTTTTTCTTAAAAAAAAAAAACAAACAAACAAAAAGACTTCTTTTTTTCTTAAAAAGAAGTTCTGAGGAAAATAGATCATTTTCCCTAGTGGCATCCTACTGTATTATAACCTTTCTAAGCAGATATTAGTCTTGAAATAAATTAGAACTGTCCTCTTTCCTCCAAAGAGAAGATGTTTAACTAACAGTACCGTTCAGTTATTTGCAACCACTGAAAACTGAAGAAAAAAATAATTTTTTAAAACTTAGCAAAAGTGTATGTCACTGAAATTCAAACAAAGCTTATGAATGGTGGATATATTGTACACAAACTTTGCTTACCTTCATTTTACACAGTGATTCTAAGCAGCAGGTTAGAGCCTGAAGATTACTAAATGCAATGAGGTTTTTAAAAAAGTCTAAGGAGCAGGTGTATTAGCGTGTAAGCAGTGTGAATGCTGATAGGCTTAAGGTTTCAAAGTCTTGGTTTGAGACTAAGTGGATGACGGACAAATGATCTTGATTGCCTTCTCTAGTTTTTGAGAACTGCATTATAAACTGTACAACTCTTAGTCATTAAGAAAGAGTAAAGGATGGGCTGGGGTTGTGGCTTAGGGTTAAGAGTGCTTGCCCAGGGGCTGCGGTGTGGCTCAGCGGCAGAGTGCTCGCCTAGCACATGTGAGGCCCTGAGTTCGATCCTTAGCACCACATAGAAATAAATAAATAAAGGTATTGTGTCCAACAACAACTAAAAGATAATATAAAAAAAAAAGAGAGAGAGAGAGTGCTTTCCTGGCATGTGTCAAGCACTGGGTTTGATCCTTAGCACTACATAAAAATAAATAAAGGTACTGTGTCCATCTACAACTAAATAAATAAATAAATACACTATTTTTAAAAGAAAGAAAGAAAAAAAGAGTAAAGGCAAGTGCTGGGAAATGATATTGGCCAAATTATATTGTTACATTGTGTATATGTACAAGTACCTAACAACAATTTCCATCATTATGTACCACTACAGTGCACCAAAAAAAAATATGGAAAAAAAAAGCAAGGAAAGTACTATTAAGCAAGACTGGGGGATAAAAAGGGAAATTTTTTTTACCAAGTTATCCTTCAGAAATAGAAACACACACACACACACACACACACACACACACACACTAAAAACAAGACCCAATAATATGCTGCCGTCAAGAAACTCACTTAATAAAAAAAAAAAAAAAAAAAGCAAAAAGAAGAAAATAGATATTCCAAGCAAATAATACTCAAAAGTGACCAGGAGTAGCTACACTTATATCTGACAAAATAGAATTTAAGACAGAATATCTGAAGAGACAAAGGTCACTGCTGTAAGATGATCCAGAGATCAATTCAACAAGATATAATAATTATAAAAAAATATGCATTAGTAACAGAGTATCCAATTTTACAGGACAAGATCAAAAGGGAGAATCTCCAATACAATAAGAGTAGGAGACTTCACCCAACTTTCATAAACAGATAGATCATCCAGACCAAAAATAAATAGTTAGGCTATGCTATAGATTAATTGAACTTAACAGATATTTATAAACATTTCATCCAACAGCTGTAGAATACATTTTCTTTTCAATCAGCATATAGAACTTCCTCTAGAACAGACCACATATTAGACCACAAATCTTAACAAATTTTAAAAATGAAATCACATCCTATGTATTTTTCTGACTACAATGAAATTATACTAGGAATCAATAATAAAAGAAACTTTAAAATTATACAAATACATGCGGACTAAATGAACAACACACTTTTGAATGAAAAAAAAATGGGTTCCTGAAGAAATCAAAAGGGCAATTTAAAAACTTGTTGAAAACAAATGAAAATGTAAGCAGAACACAAAGAAACTTACTGAATACAGTAAAAGCAGTATTAAGAGGGAATTTTATAGCAATAAATGCCTACCATGAAAAAGACAAAGATTTCAAATAAACAACAATTTATATAAAGGATGTAAAAAAGAAAGAACAAACCAAACCCCAAATTAGAAAGAAAGAAATAATAAAAATCAGAGCACACAGGAAATAATATTAAAAATTAATAAATGAGATGGTATGGTGTTAAAAAGTTTCTATACAGCAAGGGAAAAAGTTAAGAGCATAAAGAGAGAGCCTACAAAATGGGAGAAAATCTTTGCCAGCTACTTTCCAACACAAGATTAATATCTAGAATATACAAAGAACTCAAAAAAATCTACACCGAAACAACACAAAAAATAACCCAAGAAATAAATGGACAAATGAACTAAACAGACATTTCTCAAAATAAAAACAAATGACCAAAAAAAAAAAAAAAGAAAAAAATGTTAAACATCTTTAGCAATCATGAAAATGTAAATCAAAACTACACTGACAGTTCATCTCACTCCAGTTGGAATGGCAATCATTAATAGTACAAATAATGAATGCTGGTGAGGACGCAGGGAAAAAGGAAGACTTTAACACCGTTAATGGGGTTGGAAATTAGTACAACCACTAATTCAAATTAGTATGGAAATCAGTATGAAGGTTCCTCAAAAGACTGGAAATGGAAGCACTATGTAACCCAGGTATACCACTTCTCAGTATTTATTCAAAAAAATCTGAAGCATACTATGGCAATGTACATGCATACCCATGTTTATAGTAACACAATTCAATAGCTATGTTATCAAATCAGCCTAAGTGTGCATTAACAGATGAATATATAAAGAAAATTTTGCCACTTAATGAAACAGGAATAAGTCTTTCAAAATTTCAGTTATTAAAATCTCTATGAAGGTAAACGAGGCTTATGATTTATTTACAAAGCTATACTATCGGGGTTGGGATTGTGGGTCAGCGGTAGAGCGCTCGCCTCGAATGTGCAAGGCCCTGGGTTCGATCCTTAGCACCACGAAAACATAAGTAAATTTAAAAAAAGGTATTGTGTCCAACTATAACTAAAAAATGAATATTAAAAAAGCTATACTATCAATATAAATAGTATAAGCATCATAAATACAGTAATCCAACAAAAGGAATAATAATTTTTAAATTAATTACAAAAAATTATGAATAAAATTAAACTTTCTAAATAAAGTCTATAACAAGAACCTTATACAAGTTGACACATTTTATGTTTCATAGTAATTACTACAAATAATAAGCAACTCTTACTTTGTATAGAAACACTGTTTTTAACTAAATATTTAAAGAATAGAAGATAATACATGCTCATTTATTGACCAAACTTATTAAATTGTAACAACTGTGTATTTTGGATACAACTTAAGTTCCCAATACAGTACTACCAGATCTTATTGTTCCTCTTTCCTCAGAGGTGAAATTCCTTTTTTAAAAAATTACCTTTCTCAAGTGTTTAAATTTTTACATCTGAATATTTTGATAAACAATGTATATCTTTATTTGCCCCTTTTAAACTTTGTATCACACCATGCTATCACACCATGCATTTACTCTTGTAATATGCTTCTGAAATTATCTAGGTTGGTAAGTATAGCAGTACTTTATTCATTTTAATTGCTGTATAGTGTTGGATTGTATAGATTATCACCACATACAGATAGTCTTGACATTTAGGTGGTTTTTAACCTTTTGTTATCCTTTAAATATCTTTGTACATGCGTAGAGGCTTCTCTAGGGCACACATCTAGGGTGGAACTGTTTGTTCAAGGGGCATCAAAACCAGACTGTTTTCCAAGGCAGTTGTTCCAAATTTATACTTACACCATCACAATATGATTGTTCATATCCTCCCAAATAATTCAATTCATACAAAATATCCCCCTCATTGCTATTACTCATTACTACTAAGATTGAACATGTTAAAATAAGTGTGTTCACCATGCATAACCACTTTTAGTGATTCTTTTTGTTCTAAAATATTGTTTTGAGCCAGGCACAGTAGCACAGACATGTAATCCCAGTGACTCAGGAGGCTGAGGCAGGAGAATCACAAATTCAAGGCTAGCCTCAGCAATTTATTGAGGCCCGCAGTAACTCAGTGAGACTTTGCCTCTAATAAAAATATAAAAAAGGCCTGGAGATATGACTCAGTGGTTAAGCAACCCTGGGTTTAATCCCTAGTACCAAAACAAACAAACAAATAAATAAATAAAAATTTAAAAAGTGGCTGGGGATATAGCTCAATGGTAGAGCACCACCAGTTTCAATCCCCAGTGCCACAAAGTAAAAAGAAAAGTTGTTTGGAATATTTATAATAGTTTAATGTTACATTTATTAAAAATTAAGATAAAAAATTTAAAAATGTTTAAATTGTATTTTAAAATATTGACTATACACATAGAAAATGAAGCTTAACTCTGAAAAATAGGTGCATTTAGACAAAGTTTAAGAAGTTGAAACCAGATATTAACCTTAAAAAATTAAATAAAAATGCACTCAAATGAGAGAACAGTTACAGTTATAGGATCTGGCACATACTATACCCTAAATATGTGTGTGTGTGTGTGTGTGTGTGTGTGTGTGTTACTGGGATTTGATCCAGGGGTGCTTCCTCACTGAGCCACATTCCCAGTCCTTTTTATATTTTTTAATTTTAAGATGTGGTCTCCCAAAGTTGCCCAGGTTGTCTTAAACTTGTGATCCTTTGGCATCACTGGGATTATAAGCATGTACCACCACACCTGGGATTTCTTAAATTTTTTGCTTGGGTTTAGAATGTCTTTTTCTAGTATATATTTATTAGTTTTATTAAAGAATAAAACATAAGAAAAAAATCTTCCTTCTTTTATTTTAGATATTCTTAACCTAAAACCTAGAAGGAAAAACATGACATTTTAAAAATGTTTTAATTGAACTTACTTTTTTGACTTTCATATATCCAAAGTTGAGTCTGCTTTTGGGTTTTTACCACATCAAATGGTAAAGTTGCAACAGCTGCAAACTATCAGAAAGTAAAACTAATTAACTTAAGTCTTTTACTTTTTCTAAAGTATTTTAAATTCTTCTAATTAGCATATTAACAAGGATAATAATGAAAATCATCACTAAAATTAAGTTTAAAACATTTTTTAAAAGTTTTTATTAAAGAAAATAGATATACCTTGTATATTCCTCACAAGACTCAACTAAACAGTTTCATGGAAGTTCTCTTACTTTCCTGAGATCAGACAGTTACTAGTGGCAGAGTCAGAATTCCAATCCGACGTCTCTGACTCCAAAACTCACAATTTTTGTTGCTTCTTTACCTCACATGAAGGTATAACACAATATTAAAGCATAAATTTTCCAGTAAACATATAAAATTTTCCAACAAGTGTTTTAAATGCAAATAAAATTTTAAAAAGATAAATTAGAAAATGGTCTTTAAACATTTAGTTCTATATACCTTTTCTTAATGGGCTTTAATCATATTTATCAATAGTTGTTACAATGGTTCAAAAATCACATTTTAAAAAATTTTTCTCAAAATGATTCAATTTTACAATTATTTCCATAATGTAGGTAAGGGAGAGTTTTTTAAAAAGAATAATTAAATTCCTTTAAGAATATTCTCACTGTATCTGATAGAACAGCCACACAAAGTAAAATCTGGTCTTTATTTTGCTTACCAACTCACAGTTGTGCAACGTACTCATAACATGCTTATTAAACTCAATTATATGTAACCCCAGCAATCTGTTAAATTCTTGATATCAGTTTTAAAGATCATGGGTAAGACTAAATCAGTCATTGTTTCTCTGTCTCTACAACCTACCATGTAGTAACAACAGGTAGCTACAATCTTTTACACACTTTCTAAAGTAATGTAGTTTAAACTGCTTTGTTTTATAACAGAAAGCCTAGATACTATCACTTTCATATGCTTTTCCTGTTACAAAAACAAGTCTTTATTTGAAAAATTCCAAAAGACATTTTCTAGATCATTAAAACATAATTTAAGGCCTGGGGCTGTAGCTCAGTGGTAGAGTGCTTGACTAGCATGCTTGAGGGACTGGGTTTGATCCTCAGCACCACATAAAACAATATACAAACAAAATAAAGGTATCTATAAAAAAAAACATAATTTAAAAATAAGTTTTCTATGTTAAGCGGAAATAATAAAATAGAGAACTTCCCTTTATATTACTGTAAAGCTGGTGCAACATCCTGAAGTTATTATTCAACAATACTAATTGTGTTTCTAGCCTCAAGGGCTTATAATTTACTAGGCTTACTTTGACAGATTTTAGACCAAATAATATTCTTGTCTAAGTTTTGAACTCAATAGCTGTAGCTTCTGTAGGTTTTCTGATATATTATTCCAGTACTTTCTGTCAGGTTTCTATCACTTCACTCTGGACCTTTAGTTCTGTTTTTATGTGGTTCCAATATGTCAGTGTCATGCTTTAAACAATCACAAATTAATTGTGGAAGTATGTGGATATAGAAAACTCTTCATTGCCAAAGTCAGGGTGACATAAATCTACCTAAAAAAAGTTTGCTATGCAACTTTCTATTATTTTTGAAGGGGTGGGAAAGGCAACCTTCTCACTCAAAAAATGGTCTTAAATTTAAGATTTTCCCTGCTGGTTATAATTTTTCTTGAAATTCTTATAAGCCAATGTTTCCTAAGAAACAGAAAATAGCAACAAGGTATGGAACTGCTTCTGTTTAGTTCAAAGATATATATGGAATGAGATTCTATGAAATATTAATCATATCTACTAGTATTTATTAACCTAGTGTATTATAAAATATTCTGCAAATAATAAAGCACTATTCCAAGTATTATCATGATCATAACTATAATGATCCAACAAATCTAAAGATTTCTCAGAAAATATGATAATGCACATTAATATAATAAAAACATAAATACAAAGTACATTTAAAAACTATTTTAATGGTCAATAATTTATTTCCTTAAATAGGATAATAAGTACTTACACAGAATTTAAAACAGTACAAAAAGCACTATCTCAATATACATTAAATACTATCCAATACTTTACTCTGTTTAAAATAATAACTACCATTTTGCTGGAGTATTAACAACAAAAGGATAAACTTACAGAACCAGACAATGCCCCTGAAGTAAAGTTGATCATAAATGTGGGTTCATATAAACCAGATTTCTCACACAACCACTTCTTTAAAATTTCATAGTTATACCAGTACATTGCTATAAAAATAGAGAATGAAATGAGCACACATTTAGAAATAAAATGTCGACTTAAAGAAGAGTTATGAAGTTATAAATCAAAGGAAAAGAGAAATTCTGACAGTGACACACATCTTGCTTTCTGTTAGACTGGGTGGGATTTAAAAGGGCAGGGATTAAAATTTTTAGTAATTTTCTAGCATTCTTTAAACAAAAAACCATCCTGTTTATCAGTAAAGTAGGACTATAATTCCAAAACCTGACAAGAGTAAGTAGGAGGGAAAAAAAAAGTAAATGCCCATCTATTGACAAATATAGGTGTAAAAATCCTAAAAAAAGAGCAAAATGAAGCTAGATTGGATTATCCCAGAAATGCTATGCTGAGGCAGTTACTGTAACAGTGTTATCTACCACATCAACAAAACAGTGGCATAAAATAGTAACCAAAAAAAGCATTCAAAAAAATTTAACACTTCCATGTAAAGTGAACAAAAAAATTTCTTAGGATTCTATAGGTAAAAGGGAATTCCTTTAACTTGATAAATGGTATGCATCAAACCTGTAGCAAAAATAATTATTGGAAACAACGGAACTATTTCCTTTAAAATAAGAAAAATGATAGGGATGCTTATTATCACTACTACTCAAAAAAGTTTGCTATGCAACATTCTATTATTTTTGAAGGGGTGGGAAAGGCAACCTTCCTGTAGGAAGAATAGTTATAATGATTACAGTAATATGTAACCTTTATGAGAAAAATTAAAATCTCTACTGAAATACTTTAAAGAAGTTTTATTATTAATAAACAGATATGGACATTCCTAGAAAAGAAAAATGAGGTGACATCAAGAATTTTTACAAAGAACTTGTCATTTAGATTAGTAATTTTGACAGAATCTATTGGCACAGATGTAGACAAATTAACCAGTGAAACACATGCATGCATATACATGAAAATTTGATATGACACAGGTGACAATGCAGATACCTACCGGAACTGTAATTATTCCATAAATGATGCTGAGACAATAAACAATCCAGATGGGGGTATGTGTGAAAATGAATATCTATTTGGTCTATATCCCCAAATTGATTCTGAATAACTGGATAGCTAGTGAAATAGTGCCCAGCCTTATTAAAAGAGAATTGTAAATTAAAGTGAGGTGCTACTTTAAATAGCTAGATAAATACCATGAAAGAACTGTGACAATAAAAGAGCTGGCAAAGGTATAAAGCAGATGGAAGTTTCATGCAGTGCTGTTAGCTGTATAAATCCATTCAATCAATTTAGAAAAGAATCCACTGTTGAAAGAAGAATGATCAGACATTACTTTCCTATATTCATATATGAACACACAACCAGTGTAACTCCATATCATGTACAACCAAAAGAATGGGAAGTTATACTCCATGTACGTATAATAGGTGAATGTACATTCTACTGTTTGTATAACTAAAAAGAACAAAAATATTAAAAAAAAGGAATCTACCATTACCTAGTAAAATTAGAAATGTATATGTGGAACTGAGTGTGGTGGCACGCACTTATAATCCCAGCTACCTAGGAGGTTGAGACAGGAGTATCACCAAGTTTAAACACAGCCTGGGCAACTTAGGGACCCTGTCTCAAAATAAAAAGGGCTGGAGATGTAGCTCAGAGGTAGAACAATCCCAGGGTGAATCTCCAGTACCAAACAAACAATAGTAAATAAATAAATAGTAAAGAAAACATAAGTGACATAGGAATCAATGATTAGTTATCTATTTCATGTTTTTAAACAGGATAACTGAACACAACCACCTATCTGATTATTTGATTTATAATAATCCTTTATAGGATACTCAATGGGGAGATGTTTATATAATTTAAAAAAGTAGGAAGGAATTCATGTATTTTAAAGGGTCATAAATGGATTTTATGATATTTTGATTTGAAAAGTTTACTTACCTTACTAATTATCACTTATTTAGAATAAAGTTAAAGGTAGTTTTTATTCTCTGAATATGAATACCTATTAATTAATGTTTAAAAGAAAATTAAACACAAGGAGAAAAGAAAACCAGGTTTGAATTAGAAACTTCATTCAATAAAGGCTTATGAAGATCTGAAAGCCCAACAATGAACCTGGAATTTGTGGTCACTACAGAAAATAGCTTACCTTTAATCATAACGGATTTAAACCTTAGTAAAAGTAATATAGGAATAAGGACAAGGTTATGTGAAATTTATAAGCTACTAGTAAGAAGACATATCCTACCTGAGAAAGGTACATCTCTAAGGATAGTGGGAACCCAGCCCTTCCAAAGTGAAATCCAACCATCTTCAGCTACTTTCTTGCTGACAAATCGATGCAGTTCCTCATAAGAAAACTTCTTAGACTGCATCTTAGTTCTAATCAATTCTAATGGACTTATCACAGTTACTGCACCAACTAATAGAACCAATCAAATAAAAGAAAACAAAAATAAAGCCATGTACTAAGCAAACACACATGTAAAAATATTTCATATATTTTAACATTTTATTCTGAAATGTCTGCAAACATTAAAATACCTACTGATGTCAAAACATTGGCACAGATTTTCTCCCTTGATGAAACAAAAAAGTATATTTTTCATATACCTTTTTCTGGTTTCAACTCTTTCAAGATTAGTCCCAGAAATGTTATAGTCAACTAGAACTATTACAATAACTAATTCCAATTAGTGCCCCCAATAAACCTCACTTCTGTTTCACAGATATAAATGTTCTTCTGCATAGAAGCATATTTCCTTCTGACTAAACTCTGAACCTAAGGTTATGAAGAAAATGGTTCAAGACTTTGGCCAGAAACATACATGGACCCAGATAACATCTTTGAAGTTTAAGGGAGTAAGAATCAATTCTGATGGCACTCTAAAAACTGTCCAAGATTCTACCAAGATGGGCTAATTCCATCTCATTCTGAGGGCAATCATTATGCCATGTTACTTTTGGAATAAAGATATTAACAAATTAGTACAAACTGGAATGCAAAATATACTGATATTCTTTCTACATTGTACAAATTCTCTGTGGATACCAAATTTAAATGGATGGTCTAAACAGAAGTCAAAAAGAATATAAAAGTTCATTACTTACATCTGGCCACAAATCCAGCAACAATTGGTATTCGGGTTTCATTTTCTCCTAATTTAGATCTCAGAAAAGCACTTAATTGATCATAGCAGGTGAAATAAATAACTGTGGCAGGAACTGCCATCACTCTGATAGAAACAAAATTTTTTTCAAAATTATCAAAAGGTCTCAAACATACTATTGAATTAAATTCAAATATTACTATAAGCTAAAAAAATTTTTTTTCTTTTTTGTTTTGTTTTGTTTTTGTGGTGTTGGGGATTGAGCCCATGCCCTTGTGCATACGAGGCAAACACTTTACCAACTAAGCTAAATCCCCAGCCCAAAATCTTTTATTTTGGATAAGCTAAAAAACAACAAATCAGCCCATGAGATAAATTTTTATTTTATGTAAAAAATTATTAGCATTTAATTTAGCAATAAAAAGTTATAAGATTGGTGTCTGCCCTCCTCTAGTTGTGAAGTTCCAATACTATGGCATCAAATAAATGCTATGTAAGATAAATTATAATATGTAGCATTAAGTAAGTGCTATGTTACCAAACTCAGATAATATAAATTATATTACCTCAGGTCATAAATAGGGAAATAAAATTAGAACACTTGTCCTTTTCCTCAACTTTTTTGATCTGTTTCTGGTCTCCCAGATATGATTTCCCAATTAACATTTACCTTAATATGAGAATCACTGCAATAAAATGTTGTTGAACAACAGTAAGATATTTTTGAACTATGGAAATATATCACTCCTGCTTACAACAAGAAATAAACTACAATTAACATTACCAGAATTAATGTTTTGAGGAAATTCTAATGACCCATTCTTCTAAATGAAAATATAAAAAGGGAATTATTAAATTCACATACAATGTTGTGTGCATTGTCATGTCAGAAATATTAATGCAATAAGAAACCAGTTTATGCTTTATGTTTATGGTTTAACAGACCTAGTTTGGAATGCTTTAATAACCATTCCCCTCCAACCCCACCCCTCATACTGGAGATTAAACCCAGACACACTTTATCCCAAGCCATATCCCCTGCCCTTTCTTTCTTTCTTTCTTTTTTTTTTTTTTTGATTCAGGTTGTCACTCACTAAGTTGTTTAGGGCCTCACTAATTTGCTGGGGCTGGCCTGGAACTTGCAATCCTCTTGCCTCAGACTCCTGAGTTTCTGGAGTTACAGGTATGTGCCACCACGCCTGGAGGAATGCTTTAATATTCTATGGTGAAGTTTGAAGCTAAGAATTTGGAGTAGGACTGAAATAGTGCTCTTAGATCTACCACTAACTTTATAATCTTAGGCATTAAAATAAATGCCTCAAAATTGATTCTATACAAAGGATAGAAATTTTTAGAAATAAATGAGGCAGAGAAAGCCAAGGTATTTTATTTTGGAATTTTTACATTCAGATCTACTAGTTTATCATATTCATATAATTGCTAGTAAGTAGAATTACCTGGAGGAAATATACACATAATACAGTATACCTCACAGTTTTGGTAAAATAAAATCAAATAAACACTAAATTATTTTTTTCCCTCTGGTTCTGGGAATTGAACCCAGAGATACTTTACTATGAGTGACATTCCTAGCCCCTTTGATTTTTTATTTTGAGACAGGGTCTTGCTAAATTGTCAAGGGTAGACTCAAACTTGTGATCTTCTTGCCTCAACCTTATGAATGGCTGGGATGAAAAGCATGTGCCATTGTACCTAGCCTAAATTATTTCTGAACATAAAGAAAAAAATTATGCTAACACAGCAGGTCTGGTTGCTTGAATCTTCTATAATTATCTTTAAGAGGTCCTGTTTGCATGCTGAGCTTTGACTAACTCATGGGAATTTAGCCACTGGAATATTCAGTATGATAATACTTTCTAGATGTCTAAAGCTCTAAACCAACTAATCCAAGTGGATTTGTGCAAACAATGTAACATATGTGAAACATCTATTTTCCCTCTGGGGATCTGAAGTTTAGCTAATCATAACTGGTCACAAAGACAGAATGTACCTACATGACCAACAACCAGTTAATGCTGTACACTGTGAAATCCGAGTTTCCCAAGGCAGAAACACTTTACACATTTCAGTGAGTTACTGGAAGAAAAATGTGTTCTGTACAACTTGTTTTTTTTCCTCTTACCAATTCTCCTTGTATCCTTTAGCTGTAATAAACCATATTCATAAGTGTAACTCTCCCTTAGGTCCTGTGAGCCCTTCCAGCACATCATCAAATGTGTGGATAGTTGTGAGACTCAAAGAACAATGCTTCCGAAAATTAAATTTATTATAGTTTGGATCTGAAATGTCCACCAAAGGCTCATCTGTAGAAGGACTGATTCCCAGATGACAGTGCTATTGGGATGTGACACAAACTTTTTTAAAGTTAACTCAATGGCAGCATGCCTTTTACATTTTGTCCCTGAACCATTCCTCTCTTTCTCTCTCTATGTTTCCTGGCTGTCATGAGGGGAACAAGTGTCTTCCACCATGCCCTTCTGCTGTAGTGCTCTGCCTTGTCTCAGGTCCAAAGCCATAGAACTAACCAACCATAGACTGAAACCTCTGAAATGGTGTGCCCAAATAAATCTTTCCTCCTTTAAACTGTTTTTCTCAGATATTTTGTCACAGAGATAAAAAGTTAACTAACACAGAGTTCTAATATTAAAAATACAAGACTTTGTTTAACCATGGAAATTGTAAGATTAAATAACCATCAGAAAAAAATATTAAATTTCAACTTACAGAGTAGGAGGAAGGCCGCTCCACAGGGATTTAATGCCTTCATTTCTAATGATTTTAAAAAAGGCATCCTAAAATTAAAATAGAAAAAAAATTAGTCAAAATATATCCCTAAACATGATACATAGAAATGTATAGTGATAATTTATTGGTAATTTGATTCTTTCAAGCATTTATTTCTCAAATATGAGCTCCATGGATTTATAGCTGTCCATTCTTTTAAAAAATAGAATTTCAATGCAAGTACACAAATGCAAGGATAGTGAAGAATTTCTGGATAACAGTTCTTACAAAATAAAATCTATATTACTCAGATCTGGATTTTTCTACTTAGGGCTTAGAAACAAAGGTTTGGAAACATTATTATAAGAAAATAAGTAGAGTAACGATGGCAGAGAATTGGTAAGATAAACCCTCTTCACCAAGTATGAAATCTGAAAAAGTATTATTAAAGCCCACTTTTTGAAGACTCTGGAGAGGAGCTCTAAGTAGTTAGAAGCTGAAGGAAGTCTGCTGTTAACAGACAAACTCTTAAAATTTAATAATAAAAATTAAACATTGGCAAAGGATTAAAACACACATATCTCCAAAGAAGATACACAAACAGCTAATAATTGTATGAAAAAAAAATGTTGAAGAACATTGATCATTATGAAATGCAAAGCAAAACCACAATAAGATTGGAACCATCATATATTCTGATGGGAAAATAAAATAATGAAGCTACTTTAGAAAAGGTCTGGCATAGTGTCAAAAGATTAAGTGTAGAGGTACCATATAAACCAACAATACCAACTCTAGGTATATATTCAAGAGAAATTAAAACACATGTTCATACAAAAAATTGAATATTCAGAAAGTAATGATTCATTCTCCAAAGTGGGAACCAAATGTCTAGCAACTGATGAACAGAAAAATAAAATATGGCATATTCAAACAATAATGTTATTTAGGAATAAAAAGTAAATACTCATACATGCCATAACATTTACAAGACTTAAAATACTGTGGTAAGGAAAAAAAAATAGCTAGTCACAAAGGACTGCATATTTTCCCAGGAAAGGGGAAGCTCAGGAAAATAGAAAACTTTAGACAGAAGCCACTCCATTCTAACCAAACACCACAGAAAAACCTGTGGCACCACCTACCCATACCACCAAAGGCCAATAGGTAGCCTATTCTATTCCTGTGAAGGCTGCAATGAGGCACTGTAACACCATTATTTGTGTGGTGTCATAGGTCAATAGGGAGCTGAAACTTTGCCCCACCAGATCAATTATAAGTTCCCCCACTCTCACTAGGGTGGAGTCAGTGGAAGAGTAGTGGAGAGTGAGGACTTTCACCATCACCCAGCAGTAATGAGACGAGTCCACCACAGAATTAGTGGAAACTACGTGGGGAGCCAAAATCCTTATCCTCGCCTAATAGTAAAGAGATCTTCTCTCAAAACTGTGTGCCAATGGAGACTGAGCAGGAAACTGGGACTTGTAGCTTGACCCAGCATTAACAAGGTGGTATCTTCCTTTTGTGGAAGCAGTGTCAGTCAGTTAACAAAGAAGATCAAGGACTTAGGCATTAGAACAGAGACCCTGCACCTAATAGAAGAAAAAGTAGGCCCAAATCTCTGTCATGTTGGCTTAGGAACTGACTTCCTTAACAAGACTCCTAAAACACAAGAAGTAAAATCAAGAATCAATAAATGGAATAGAATCAAACTAAAAAGCTTCTTTATAGCAAAGGAAACAATCAAGAATATGAAGAGAGAGCCTACAGAATGGGAGAAAATATTTACCACTTACACCTCAGATAGAGCCTTAATCTCCAGGATTTATAAAGAACTCAAAGAACTTAACACCAAAAAACAAATAACCCAATCAATAATGGGCAAAAGAACTGAACAGATACTTCACAGAAGAAATACAATCGATCAACAAATAGGTGAAAAAATGTTCAACATCTCTAGCAATTAGAGAAATGAAATTAAAATTATGCTGAGATTTCATCTCACTCCAGTCAGAATGGCAATCATCAAGAATACAAGCAACAATAAATGTTGGCAATGATGTGGGGAAAAAGGTACACTCATACATTGCTGGTGGGACTGCAAATTGGTGCAACCACTCTGGAAAGCAGTATGGAGATTCCTCAGAAAATTTGGAATGGAACCATCATTTGACCCAGTTATCCCATTCCTCAGTTTATATCTAAAGAACTTAAAAATCAGTGTACTATAGTGACACAGGCACATCAATGTTTACAGCAGCTCAATTCATAATAGCTAAACTATGGAACCAACATAGGTGCCCTTCAACAGATGAATGGGTTAATAAAATGTGGTATATATACACAATGAAATACTACTCAGCCTTAAAGAAGAATGAAATTATGGTATTTGCTGGTAAATGGATGGAGCTGAAGACTATCATGCTAAGCAAAATAAGTCAATCCCAAAGAACCAAAGACCAAATATTTTTTCTGATATGAATATACTAATTCACAATAAGGAGGCAGTGCTAGGGAAGAATAGAGGTACTATGCACTAGACAGAGGAAAGTGAAGGAAGCGGGTATGGGAGTAGGAAAGTAGAATGAATTGGACATTATTACCCTGTGTGCATATATGAATACATGACCAGTGTGATTCTCTACATCATGTACAACCAGAAGAATGAGAAATTATACTCCATTTATGTATAATGTGCCAAAATGAACTCTATTGTCATGTATAACTAATTAGAACAAATTTTTTAAAAAGAAAAAATCAGTTTAAAATAGAATGTTTAGGCCATATGTGGTTGCACATGCCTGTAATCCCAGAAGCTTGGGAGGCAGAGACAGAGAATCATGTGTTCAAAGCCAGCCTCAGCAATTAAGTGAGGTGCTAAGCAACTCAGTGAGATCCTATCTCTAATAAATTACAAAAAATAGGGCTAGGGATGTTGCTCAGTGATTGAGTGCCCCTGAGTTCAATCCCTGGTACCCCCACACACACACACACAAAAAAAAATGTAATAAAAGTGACACTTAAAAAAATAAAATAGAATGTTTAAATGAGATTCAGAATTAAATAAGCAAACACTCAAAATGTCCAGATTTTACTAAAAAATCATTCACTGTTCTAAGAAAATGGAAGATGTTAAACTAAATGCAGGGAGACAATAAATAAATACCAACACTGAACAAGATGTTCTAATTTTATCTGACAGTGATTCAAAGAAGCCAACAAAAAACACTGAATGATATTTATGAACATATCTGAAACGAATGAAAAATTGGAATGTGCAGAAAAGAAATATGTACCTGAAAGCACTAGAGATCAAATGGAATTCTAAAAAGTGTAACAGAGGAAGGCAAGAGAACTACCAGTATTAGAAAACAGAACAAATAAATAAATAAATGGAAGAGATAGGCTCTTAAATATCTATAATAGCATTAATATAATTGGTCTATCAACTAAAAGATGAAAACTGACAGTAGACTTAGATATACATTATCTATAAGAAATCTGCTTCAATTAGAATGATATAGGCAGGTTAAAAATGAAAGACTCAACACAGTTAAGATGTCATTTCTCTCTAAATTGATAAATTGGTTTGGTATAAGTTCTATGAAAATTTTAGGAAGACTGTTTTTTTATGTCTTCAAACAAGATTATCCTAAAATATATATGGAAAGAAAAAGAAACTTTGGGAATAGCTGAAATAAACCTGAAAAAGAAACAGGAATGAAGTGGGAAGGCGGGGGATGTGGTTCAGTGGTAGAGCACTCGCCTAGCATGTTTGGGGCCCTGCATTTCATCCCGAGCACTGGGAGGGAAAAAAAAAAAAAAAAAGAAAGTGGGAAGAATAATTTTACCTGATTTCAAGTTATTACAGAGCTACAGTAATTAAGACTGTGTTGTATGAATAAAGTGACAGACATTATCAATCAACAGAACAGAATCGAGAACCCAGAAATAGATACAGCTCAAAATGTTCAACATAAATGTATATAAAGGCATAAAAAACAACTTGATGGGTGAAAAAAAACAAACGCAGCTGAACATCCACAGGTAGCAGCAACAGCAACAAACAATCTTCAACTTCAGTCTCATACCTTAAATAGAAACAACTCAAAATGCATTGAAGGCTTAAATATACAGCTGTAAACTTTTAGGGGAAAACAAAGGAGAAAACTGTCAGAGTCTAAAGGCAGGTAAAAAGTGCTGAGAATGATTTATAAAAGGAAAAACTATAAATTGGATTTCATCAAAATTAAAACTTGGGGCTGGGGTTGTGGTAGAGCGCTTGTCTAGCATGTGTGAGACGCTGGGTTTGATCCTCAGTACCACATAAAATTAAAAAAAATATTGTGTCCAACTACAACTAAAAAAAAATGAAAAACTTACTGTGTGAAAGATCATGTTAATAAGATGAAAAAACAACTCAGAGAATGGGGAAAAATATTTTTAAACCACACATCCCCAAAAGGACCAGTGTCTAGATTATATAACCAACTCTCAAAATTCAATAGTAAAAATACAAACAATTTAATTAGAAAGTGGGCAAATAACATAAAGATCCATTTCACTGAATAGAATGGCAAATAAGCATGAGGTGGTCAACATCATTAGTCACCAGAGAAGTGCAAATTAAAACTACAATGAGATATTATTATGCATGTATAATAATTGCTATAATACAAATAGTGATAACACCAGATGCTAGTGAAAACACAAGGGAACCAGATCACTTACATGTTGCTGATGGGAATGTTAAATGGTAGAGCTACTTTAGAAAAAACATGCTGGCAGTTATCTTAAGCTCTCAATATGCAATTACCATGTGCACTCAGCAAATGAAGATTTTCTTATAACACACACACACACACAAACACAAACTGTAAATGAATTTTTGTAGCAGCTTTATTCATAATAGCTAAAAACTGGATATGGCACATCAAAACCACTGAATAGAACAGAGCAATAAAAAGGAACAAATAATTGATACATATAACAACCTGGATGAATTTCCAGATAATTATGCTAAGTGAAAAGTGACTACCCCAGAATTCATTTGTCATGATTCTATTTATAAAACATTTTTGAAATGTCAACATCTTATAAACTGAAACAAATTAGTGTTACCAGGGGTTAATGAGTGGGAGAGAGCACAGGAAAATGTGGAATACGGAAGAATCCTTATAGTGGTGGAATTATTCTTTTTATTTTTTAAAATTAGAACAATGTTAATATCTTGGTTGTGATTGTTGCTAGTTTGGTAAGATTTTGTTGTCATTGTGGGTGGGAATCTGGGAAAAGCATCCTTGAGATCTGTCTTGTATATTTTTCTTAAAATTACATCTGATCTACCATTATCTTAAAACAAAAGTCTAATTTTTAAAAAGTTACCTCCTCTTTTTTCTACATAAAAAGTATGAACCAATGAAAGTTAACAGAGTTATAAAGGAAAAAAGTACTTCCCTTTTCCTACTTTAATATAATGGACTTATTACTTCCCTGCAATGAGAAAATTTTTCATATATAAGAATAAATATAAAAATAGAAAATATACAGTAATTCCAAATAATATAATCTCCTTACCAATGTCCCCTGAAAATTTCCTGGCTTCTTATACCATGCTTTGTTGCCTCCCTCTTCACAGACACACATATGATCCATGAGTCCATTACTATACACAAAACATTTTCCTAACAAAGAAGATTCCAGGGGTCAACAATTATTTCACATAACCAAGTTGAAAGTACAATGAGGTGACTAGAAAATTATGGAAAAAGAAATAACCTTAAAAAAGAAAAATAACTATCTCTTCTTTCTAGAATGAAACATACATAATTAATTCAATTTGTTAAATGATATAGTTTTAAATTCACAGCTGTGCAACGTAATGGAGTAAATTAGTGGGTTTTGTGTTTTGGGGACTGTAGTAAGAAATGTACACAGAAACACAATCTTTTAAATTATATGAGGTAATGAAGAAGAAAGAATGAGGAGGAAAATCTGTTTTGAAAACATGGTTCATGTCTCCTCTATTTGTCCAGAAGAAAACTGTAGTATGCCAGTGAAATTCAAGGCAAAAAAATAAAAAATAAAAATAAAGTGGAGACTAAATGTTCATCTCAATGTAAATAGTGGTATGTGTTGTCCTTTTCTCTGTACTTGTACTGCTCAATATAGATGTCTGCCAGTTCCTACCTAATTTACCACAACTTTTGCTAATACCAATTCTTTCTCATTTATTAGTCTCACTCCTGCTGCCCAAATTGTCTTCTCTGTTCAATACGTATATAATTCTGTGAGTTTCATCAATATGTAAGTCTGAGAATCTCCTTCTGCTCTTAAGGCTTTCTTTAATGTGTAAGAAATTACCTTCCTAGCCTCTTCCTATAATCTACCTAATCCTTTTTCATTCATCTGAAATATGATTGATTTTAATTCCATCTCACTACTATGCATTCAACAGGGAAGCATTTATATCTAAGCCAATTTTTTTCAGTCTAGTCTGTTTTCTGCTATTTAAATATATTTGAAATGCTGCTATTTTAATAAACATTTAAATGATTGATCTTGGAATTGCTACTCTTGCCCAGCTTGTAAAAATATATAATTATTCATATGAAATTTCACAGAAATGACTGTCCAAAAATAAACCAACCTGCCTGATAAAATAATGAATTTCCGATCACTAGATTTAAGTAACAATTGGATAGTTGTCATGAATGTTCTAGAATAAGTATAACTCTTGAACAAAGGAAGAATTTAGAGTCTAAGTTCCCTTATAATTCTGTTCTTACATGAGAGGCACATATTCAAATATATAATAATCCCTCTGCTCTTAATTGGTAAGTCCAAAAGAGTGTTTCATGTTTTTCTGCCTAGACCTCATCATGTACTACAAAATGGCCAAAAATGTTTGTGAATACAGAATAAATTTTAAAAAAGAATTATTCAAATGAAAATGAATTCAGTAACATTGAAAAATTAAACAACATTATCAGGATAACTCTCACACATACCTTTGGGGAATGGGGTATGCTGGGCTTGGAGTCGAATTTTAATAACATCCAGGGGTGTTACTATGAAGGTACATAAAAATTTCAATTAGCAAGAGATACCTATAAATTGTACAAAGATTTTACAAAAACCACAATATACATCCATGCATACTTTTCCTCATGGCTATATAATGAATAAGGTTATTTATCTTAAGTACTCTTGAATGTAACATTCTAATTTTTGCCCTTGAATTTTGTTCAAAGAGCATAAGTGAAAAGACAGGCAGCACTTCTCTAACAAGTATTAAATTATTATAATATATCTACAATTACATTAGCATTAAAAATAAAATACTAGTCTTTATAGGAAAATATGTTATCTAAGGTAAAGAATAAAAGTTTCTAAAAATCTGTTTAAATATTTAAAAATAACTTTGTTTTACAATAGTCAGGAATCAAACCCTGATAGTCTTCCTAATCTGTTAAATTTATCTGTATCAAATAAAAGCTACAGGAAATGAAAATTGGAATATCTAACCATAAATCATCTTTAACACAGGTTGTGTCATCTTATTTGGAACAGCATGGCAAAGGCAAATTTGCATGTCATATTTTATCCAAGTAGGAAAAAATATCAAGTATAGTTCCAAGAAAACTATCCCTCATCAGAGTTAGAAAATCAGATAATTTCTAAGGCCTTTAACATCCTAAAACTCTGACCTGAAGATACATCATAGAGCAATTACTTGTTATCTTATTTAAAATAAACTAGCCAATCATTAAATGCTAAACTATCGACACTGTCATTTGGCCATGTCTTTTTAAGAAACAAAAATGTGATCCAGAGAAATTTAAGAAATTCACTAGTAATGTAGGCAAAGTAAAACATTGTTTTGTCACTACTATAAAATTTGTTCACCTTCTGTTTTATTCAATATGCTAATATTTAATTCTGTCTTTGTAATTTTCAGAGATAATAATCTGAAAAGTTTAATGTTGATAGGGAACTCCCAAGAACTCCTCTTATAAACCCGTAATTTGAGATGAAAAAATGAAGTCTAGAGAGAAGTAGGTACTGTCCCTAAGTAAGAATCCTAAGAATGGCGAAGCAAGAATTAAAATTCAAGTATCTTGATTTTCTGACTTGTTAACTTTTCATGTTATCAATCTGATAAAAGAATACCATTAGCATCATGGAAACACTGATTCAAAGTCACATAATAAACATCAGTAGCACAATTTTACCCATTAGTGATGTCAATATTGCTCCAGTACAGGAGGCAAGAATTTGCTGAAAAGGTGTCACTTTCACAGTCTGTGAGCTCCCTTTTTCAGGATCCATATTTTTAACTAATTGAAGAAAAGTCCTGTTAAAGAAAAGCAAAATAAAAAAAGGTTAATGGAAAAACCTTAAAAATTGACAACTCAAAGTTAAACTATAAGAACAATGATCAGAATTTATATCAAAACACATTTTTAACCACCATCAAAAGTAAATACAGGGCTGGGGTTGTGGCTCAGCAGTAGAGTGCTCGCCTAGCATGCACAAGGCACTGGGTTTGATCCTCAGCACCACATAAATGTAAAATAAAGATATTGTATCCACCTAAAGCTTAAGAATAAATATTTTTTTAAAAAAGTAAATACATAAGTTCGCTTATAAAAGGTACCTTACAACTGCCATTAGTAGAACATGTCCTCTGAGTCCTCTGATCTTACAAACATGATAATATACTTCAGGCTAAGTTATGTGAGCAGCATCACATTTATAAGATAGCTAAGAGAGAGCCAGACACAGATGTTGACCACTTGCCAGAATGAAGGCAACAGACTAACAAGTCATGGAATCTGTCAAGTTAGCGTCATAAACTCTACTCAGTCCTTTTCTAATCTAGTACAGAGTAGCACTATTTTATTGCATAATGAAAGTTGCAATTAGGTACAAAATAAAATAAAAACATATAACTTTAATCAAAAACATTGTTACAAAAAGTTGATGACAAAAGCAATAATTATTTTTTAAAAGTTGGATAATATAAAAAGTATAAAATTCACTTGCAAACTCACTAATCAAAAATCATCACTAGCAAGAGTGTCAGCTTTCCAAATTTTAACTTATATATCCACATGTATATGTGTGTGTGTGTGTGTATGTGTGTGTGTAAATATACATGTGCACACAGATTATATATCCAACTAAAAGTATTAATCCAACATGTATACAAATTCATACATTTGTGTATGTGTCCCTTTTTCTGAAAAATAAAAATGGGGTAAGCCAGGTCTGGTGATGCAATCCTATAATCCCAGCGGCTAGGATGGCTGAGGCAAGAGGATCACAAGTTCAAAGTCAGCCTCAGCAACTTAGCAAGGCTTTACATAACTCTGTGAGACCATGTCTCTAAATAAAATATAAAAAGGGACACTGGAGATGTGGCTCAGTGATTGAGTGCCCCTGGTTTCAATCTCCAGTACCAAAACAACAACAACAAAATAAAAATAAGTTATTATTATTCATGTTTGTTTTTTAACCTGCTGTGACAATTATATTGTGTCAATATAGATTCATATAACTTTTACTGATTGCACAGTATTTAATTATATTTAAAGAATCTCATCTTTTAGACACTTAGGTTGTTGCCAATTTCTTAACTGTAAAACATTCTGACACGATATCCTTATCCACACAACTTTTTATAGTCTTCCTACAATTACCCTAGGAGAGAAAGTAAGATTGTTGGGCTGACCCATTTAAAAATTTGATAAAAATGGCCAAAATCCTTTCCAGAAAAGTTAGAATAATATATACTTCCACTGGTGTTACACAAGTTCCTAGTGATCCACTTCTTCACAAACTCTTACATAGTATATATCATTAACTTTCTCTGAGCCATTCAAAAGTAGATTGCATACACCATGCTCCTTTACTCTAAATACAACAATATATTCTCTTATATTATCAAAGTATAATAAACAATTTCAAGAAATTTAATTTTGACACAACACAGTTCATATTTCAGTTTTGTCAATTATATTAATAACATCCTTTATAAAAATGAATGGTAATTTTATTTTTTCAGACTTTCATTATTTATCTACCTGGTTTAAGTCTTTTCCTCAATTCTGTGCTCCCGTATTTTATTGTTTGTAACATCAGTAGCTGGAAACCTAAAAAAAAAAAAAAAAAGGTAAGAGATTATCTTTTTACATAAAGGGATATTACATCTGAAGGAAAGAGAATGTACAGAAACAAAGCTGGGGGGTGGCTTAATGGTAGAGCCCTCCAAAATGCAAGCATTAAAGTTATGAAAAGGATTTTTACAAAAATGTCATGTTATCCTAATTAATATACTCTTATTTAAAAACAACCACTCTAGAACTTGAACACAGCGACCAACCTAAGCATCATGTATAGTAGAACTAGATTTTTTAACGCAAAATTAAAGACAGCATCATCTAGTATTTTTTGAGGGGGGTGGAAAAACCTCCTCTAATCTAAATTTAAACGAGCTTCTGATCTAACTACCAATTCCCAGGAAATTCAGAGACTAGAGTAACAAGGCAACAGATGCCACAAAATAGCACATACCACAACAGTAGTAGTATTCTAACCTACAGGCCTCTTGACTTGGTTTCTTCAAGTCAAAGTAAGGTGGGAAAAAGGTGGCAGCAGAGGGAAAACTGTTAAAGCCTCATGGTTTCAACAAATTTTTAAAACCCAATTTGAGGGGTTGGGGTTGTGGCTCAGTGGTAGAGCGCTTGCCTAGCATGTGTGAGGCACTGGGTTCAATTCTCAGCACCACATAAAAATAAAATAAATGTATTAAAAAAAAACAATTTTGGGGTAACTAGAGAAATCTGAACATGGGTTGTTAGATAACACTAATTTGATATTAGTTAATATTTTTAAATTATTGATCTTTTTGTGGTGATAATGATACTATCATTATGTAGAAACTATTCCCCCACCACCACCCCACCACCACAAGCAGTGATTGAACCCAGGGACTTAACCATGCTAGATACAGAGGTCCCCAGCCCTTTTGAGGCAAGAGTTAACTGGGCTGACCTCAGACTCCTAAGTAGCCAAGATTGTAGGGATTCACCACCAGATTTGGCTGTATTTTGTAGTTTTGATAATAGCTATTCAAACTGGGTAGACAGTATCTCATTGTCATTTTGATTTGCACATCCCTGGTAAGTGTTATTTAGTACTTTTACATATATTTGGTTAGCTACTTGTATATCTTTTTTGAGAAATGTCTTTTCAGATCTGGGAGGTTTTGTTGTTGTTTTTCTTTTTTGGTGCTAGTGATTGTACCCAGGGCTTTCCACATGCTAAGTAAGGATTCTACCACTGAACTATGCCATAACCCACATTTGCTCCATTTTTCTTTTCAAATAGTTTTTTAGTTGTATATGAACACAATATCTTTATTGTTTATTTTTATGTGATGCTGGGGATCAAATGCATGCTAGGCAAGCGTTCTACCATTAAGCCACAACCCAGCCCTCTTTTCTTTTTCTTTACTTTGTGGTGTTGTTTTGGTACTGGGGATTGAACCCAGAAGCACTTTACCACTGACCTACATCCCCAACCCTTTTTATTTTTTCGAGACAGAGTCTTGCTAAGTTGTGAGGCTGGCCTTGAACCTGCAATCAATCTCCCCAATAGCTAGGATTACCAGACTTGTGCCATTGTGTTCAGCCGATTTGCTCATTTTTAGTTGTTCCTTGCATATTCTGGTTAAATCTCTTACTAGATGAATAGTTGGCAATTTTTTTTTTCCCATTCTGTAGGTTGTCTCTCAACTGCTGTTTCCTTTGCTATGCAGAAGCTGTTTTGCTTGATATAAACCCTTCTGTCAATGTTTGCTTTGTTGCCCATGACTCTGAGGCCATTACCTGCCAAAGTTTTACCAGATCAATGGCTTGAAGTATTTCCCCTTTGCTTTCATCTAGTACTTCATGTCCTACATTTAAGTATTGGATCCATTTAAGTTGATTTTTGTATATTATATGGTCAGAGATAGGGGTCTGGTTTCATTCTGCTGTATATGGATACCCAATTTCCACAGCACAATTTATTTAAAAGACTGTTCTCCCTCTAATGTGTGTATACTTCTCTTCATAGAATCCTCTCACTTCCTTGGTTAAACTTATTCCTAAGTATTTCATTCTTTTCATAGCATTGTAATCAGAGTGCCTTCTATATTTTTTCATCAAGTGCATTTTGAGGTACAGAAAGACTACTTTCACTTTACTTCATTTTGCTGAATTTGTTCCACTGGTAAGTTTTATGGTAGAGTCTAGTTCTTCTATATTTAAGATCATGTCATTTGCAGAAAGGGACCTTTCCAATTTGGATGTCCTTTATTAGTTAGGACTTCTAGTACTACAATGAATAAAATCAATGAAAGTGGGCATTCTTATCTTGTTCCTTATCTTAGAGAAACACTTTCAACTTTTTTTCAGTTTGTTAGTTGTGGGTTTGTCAATATAACCTTAATTGTGTTGATATATAATTGTTCTGTCTCTAATTTGTTGACAAGAGCTTGTGCCGCAGTCTGGCTGGGCACCAAATAACCAAGCCACCACAAAGCCTTGTAGATTCAAACAGCAACTCTTTATTCCCGAACTCTCACCGACACTCTACTCACACTACCTCAGAATATACTGCCTCCACCGGGCTCTGTGTACCAATTCTCTCAGAACCCCGCGAGAACTCAAAAGGAACTCCAAAGGAGAGGGCGCCTGAGGCAGCAGGATCCGCCCTAATCCTGGAGCCGCCCTATTCCCAGCAGGATCCACCCTAAACCCGGAGCCACCCTAATCCCTGAGCAGGGTCACCTTTCAACCCAAAATGCCATGCGTCATTCCTACTTGGCTATGGCCCTCAGCATCTCCCCCCTTCTGTTTAATTAAACAACAAGCAATGTGGCTTAGGGACCGTGCCTGTTAGGTTGTCCAATTCAACATATGGTCCTTACCTGTCATCGAATGAGCTGACCTCTAGGCGTCAGCCTCCTGTCTTAGGTTGGTACCACTGCAATTGGATCATACCCGTCACTGACTACCGGTCCAGCATACAGCCATACTTGTGGATAGGCCTATGCACCAGTGGGGGGGTGAGGTTCTTTGCCTCACCTCTGTTGGCCCCCAAATTTGGCCTTGGTGCCAGTGGGGGGGTGAGGTTCTTTGCCTCACCTCTGTTGGCCCCCAAATTTAGACCATCACTAGTAGAAGGGAGGAGGATACAGAAATGCCACGACACCGAGCCAATGATGGCTCCTTTGGAAAAATTGTACCATCGGTGACACCATCAGCAAAGATACGCCAGCACTACCACAATTTGCTGCACCAACAGATAGTTCACAATGTATACAAGTGTACATAGTCCAGGCAAGTTCTGCAAGCAGTTCAAAGCGGAGGAGTCTATCAATATGTCCATTTCCTCCCAAAGTAAATCAACTCCTTGATTGAGCATTACTTGTTGAGTTATTATTCACTGATGCATCAGTTTATACAGTTTGTTGTGATAACTATCGAAGAAGCTGTAGTTTGGTTTTATCTTTGTCTTCACCGGCACTGGGATGAAGATAGGAATTCTGGCAATGATGCTAAAAAAAATATGTAACATTCCAACAGGTACTAAGAAAACAATTTTCTGAACAATTTACATTATCCTGAACAGAATTATTAAATATAATGAAAAGGAAAGGTGAAAGTAAACAAACAGATCTGTTAACCTCCTTATTTGTACACATATTAAAACAATCCTCAACAGCTGTTAACCCAATTTAAATTAAACCATTAAAATCACGTGAATAAAAAAAAAATTCGGATCCATTTTTTCATGAGCGCTCCTCAAATATGATATATGGACATACATACATACAAACAGGTCACTTAACTACTGAGCCACATTCCCAGCCTTTTTTATTTATTTTGAGAGGTCTCACTAAGTTGCTGGCCTCAAACTTGTAATCTTCTTGCCTCAGCCTCTTAAACTGCTGAGCTTAGAGCTGGGTGCCATCACAAGGGGCAAATATTTAACATTTTAAGAAACTGATAAAATGTTTTTCAAGACAAGTATATTATTTTACATTCCCACCATCACATAAAGTTCCAGTTGCTTAACATTCTTCACTCTTGGTATGGTTAGTGTTAAAATTGTATACATTTGAAAAGTTGAAAATTGTTATCTCACTGAGGTATACTTTGTATTTTCTCAAGGAAATAATGTTATGTCTTTTCACATTTATTTGCTATCTATATGTATTCCTTGGAAAAACATCTATTCAAAACTTTTGCCCATTTTTAATAGGGATTGTTTATCTAATGTTGAGTTATAATAATTCTTTATATACATTATATACTAGAATCCTTAACAGATATGCTTCACAAATATTTTCTCCCATTCTGTGGGCTCTTTTCACTTTCATGAAAGTATCCTTTGAGAGATGTTTTTGGTGCTATTGTTTACTTTCTTTACTTTTTTTAGTGTTGGGGAATGAAACCAGGGCTTCAAGCATACTAATGCTCTATACTAAGTGATATCCCCAAACTGAGACATATAAAAAGCTTTTAATTTTCATGAAATCCAACACATCTTTTTACCTACTTTTTTTTTTTTTGAGTCTTGTGCCCTTTCTAGAGAACAGGATAAGTGATAAAGTCACTTCCAAAATTAACATAGAAATGGTTGTGACTCCCTTAGTATTCTCCCTTTGCTGTGTCTTCCTTGCTCAGAAGAATCAAGCTGCTATGCTATGAACTGCCCATTTGGGCACCAGATAACAAACAGCATTAAATTGAGGCCTTCCAGTCCAAAAAGGAAACTGAATCCTGCGAACAACCACATTAATAAGTTTGGAAGCAGATCCATCCCAGGTTGACCCTTGGAATGAATGTAACCTCAGCAAATACCTGAAATGCATGATTGTGAGAGATTCCAGGTTTACCCAGCTCCGTTGTATCCAGATTCCTGATGCAAAACTGTGAGGTTATAAATATTTATTATTTTAAGCTAATATATTTTGGAGTAATTTGTTATACTGCAACAGATAGCATCTATTGAGATGATCATATGTTTTTTCCTTTTTAGTCTGGTTATATGGTGATTTAAACTGCTTGATTTGTGTATGTTTTACCATCCTTGCATTTCC